GTGAGACGGAGACGCCTCCATCTGTCAGCAGGACTGAGCAAAAACACATCAGAGACATCTTTTTCTTTAAATATGAGTTTTCAAGGCACAAATCGATAAAGACTCCTTTTTTTTTGCACTCCTTCCTGGGACAAAGTGTTCCAAACTGAGCTAGTTTTTAACTGAAGTCAGTTCATCATTCAGTTTATTTAATTATGTATAAATGTAAATGACCAAACATGGTGCTTAGTCAGATACCTGCAGCACACGCTCAGTAAACATTCATTTTGTTTTCACCATCTGCTGTTAAAATAATATCCGTGTCACATGCTTACAACCTGAAATAAATCCACCTGATGTATTTTAGAAGTTTGACCCACATTGAAGTTCAGCAGAGCAAAATAAAGCCGACTACGTGTGCTTTTGTAACCATCATGCAGCGTCTTTATCACTTTACTGCTTTGTTTTATAGATGCAAGATCATATTTCAGTACGATTGCTGTGCGCTCTTTGCAGATGGGGTGCGACCGGTCTGCTTACCGAGTCCGAGAGAGTCCTTTCCTCCTGGAACGGCGTGCTGGATCACAGGCTGGGGGTTTATTCAAGAACAAGGTGATTGTGCCATTGTGTCCCAAAAGTTCTCAGCTGAGAGTACATCCTATGGTCAGCAAACCCTTTAAAAAAAGTAATTGACATCCCCATAACACAACTGTTATTTGTCTTTCACAATAATAACTTCCAAAGAGGGAAAAACAACAATAAAAAAAAACACACAGGTAAAATTAAAAAGCTGTATTTTAGCACTGGCTCCTTCTGGCAAATGAGAAGTTCTGGTATAAAAAGTTAATAGAAGTTGAACCCATAAGAACATAATCAAATTTTAGGTGATGACAAAAAAAAAAGAAGAAGAAATCTTGTGATTTGCTTCTTTGGGGGAAACTACAAATGCACACGCAGCTATCATTAGACTCGTCTGCAGTTTCACACACATTTAAATGCATTTTTAGTCACTTAGTTTTTCTTTCTCTTGTCATTTTTCTCGCCAGGCTTTGTGTCCGATGAGCTGATGCAGGCTCAGGTAAAGGTGATAGCTCAGGCCACCTGCTCCAGCTTTAAGGTCTACAGCAAGTTTATAACTCCTCGGATGATTTGCGCGGGCAGCATAGCCGGAGGGGTGGACTCCTGCCAGGTACACGCATAACACCGTAAAACCTCCTCCATAAACCCAGCACAGGTTTATGGTGAATGTTTCTTAACTTTACAGTCAATCACCAGGTCAAGCTTGAGTTACGTGGGAACACATTGTGTCCTATTGCTACCTGGTTTGGTCTTGATTCAAGGGAGACAGCGGCGGACCCCTGGTGTGTAAGACGTCCGGTGGGGACTGGAGACTGGCGGGGGTGGTGAGCTGGGGAGAGGGCTGCGCTCGGCCCAATAAGCCGGGCGTCTACAGCAGAGTGACGGAGCTGCTGCACTGGGTTGAAAGGAATAC